GCATACATAGGGACAGACAGACGGCGGATAGCGACTTTGTTTTATACTATGTAGTAATAGTGATTAACAGCGACATGGAGTAGGCTTTCCAATCCAGTTCAACATCATTACAGACCCTGACAGTCCATTGCTGGAATTTGATAGGCCTCCTCTACATGAGAGGGTTTGTCACGATTCGCTGGCGGATTTAAAGACCGCAGTTTAGAAATATTTAGGTTTATCTGACAGCAGTTCGTCTCTGTCAAAGTAGGGCTTAACTTAGTGACCTTTTTTTTGTTATTGAGGGGAGAAAATCATCCAATCGCATCTCCCACCCGGGTGAGGTGAGAGGGAGTGTCAGACTCTTACTGACTAAAAACCACCCCGTTCCTACTCCTGCACTTTGAGCCGGAGCCCCGCAACCCGAAGTCTTCCGCGTCTCCGTATCGGCATCAGCTCTATTGGGCTCCATCTGTGGTGGACTGATGGCTACTTAGCCATGAGTGAACATGAGTGGACTACGACAACCATCTGGCTTAAGATGCCCGCGGGAAGAGAAGGAGTGATGATAAATGTATTCTATTTTCAGCTTTGGAATGTTGAAACAGGAACTATTTCACATTGTTGTAAATATAATAATTATGAGAAATACTAGTGAGTAATAAACTAGAAATATTGTGGAAACCTCGTTAACGGCTCCGTGGCGGACATATTAACAATTGTTCAAACACAATCGACTTGAATTAGGGTTGTTGTGTATGTGTTAGTTATAAAAATATTGCAAGTATTTGGTTTAAGGAAAATATTAAGGACTACCTGTTGCCCACGACTTCGTCCGCGTTGAATATGAATTGTAGGACATTTTTAGAGTGTTCTACCTAGGCACAACTGTTATATAATAAGTTATCAGACAATGTAAAATCACTCAATTTAAATCAATTTAAAACGACTGTTTGGAAAGTTTTCATTGACAAATGTTATTATTCAACAACAGAATTTCTAGTTGATAAATTGTAACATTATGTATTTCTTGACATTATTATAGCATTATGTATTTCTTGACATTATTTTAACATTATGTATTTCTTGACATTATTTTAACATTATGTATTTCTTGACATTATTATAACATTATGTGTTTCTTGACATTATTTTAATGAATATATATGTCTTGACATTGTTATTATTGTTTGTATTGAATTTATAAACCTTAATTATATTAAATCTGACAGCTTTTTCACCATATTTTGCATGCCAATAAACGGGCAAAATGTATACGGCTACTATATTATATCTGCAACAACCTATTTCTTAACACCTACATTTTATGCAAATAAATGATTTGATTTGATTTGATAGGATTCTGTGACAAATCTAAACCTTTTAAATTCCGATAACCATCTGACTGCCTTCAAAGAAAGGTTGGGTTAGGTTAGGTTAGTTGAAGTCTCCCCTCTCGCCGTAGACGCGCCGGTCGTCAGCGCCGTGAAGCGGCAGCCGATCTGCGACCTCCATGAGAGGAGAGGCCTGCGGGCAACTGACCGGGGGAGTCAGACGTCCGCTATATAGGCGGGAGTAGGCGTTAGCGTAGTGTTCCACGCGCTACTCGAAGAAGGAAAGCAGCCTCCTAGGGCCGCTAAGGTGGCGGGACTTGCCGCAAACATGGCGGTAGGTCGAGGCCTGCCGGGTGTGGTGATTCCGTAAGGGCAACCCGGGTCACGGTCACAGGCAGTGTAGGAACACCGCGGTGGTTTTAGCCGGTATGAGTCCGGCACGCCCCCTCGTCGTCCCCACGGCGCGGGAAGTCCATGAGGATTTCCAACGCGATAGAAAGAAAAAAAATAAAATAAAATTGAAGTCGGTTGTTTTAAACGTAGTTTATTAAAAGAATTGTCTCCATTTTACTTGCCAGCCCTACCTGAAACCTTCAGGCCATGAATGGTGACAATGTTTACCCGATTACGTGTATGTTACTAATGCTGAAACTATCCTACACATCTATCTGAATTCTTGTCATCAACATTATAATCATCAATGAAATATGTGACCTAATTACCTAGTTACTTACTCATTATTCTAATAAATGATTTTTTTTAGTAAAACTACTACGTCATTATTTCAGGTTAAAATTCTGAATCATTTTTCGGGTATAACAATATTTTTTTCAGAAGTCGTAACAAATATTGTAAACTTCTGTACTTATTTTATTTAATGTACATTATAATTACAATTATCGTGATGTTTTTAATTTCAATTAAATATGTCAAACTAAATTTAAAGAAAATAAATATACACTAGCTAGAGTATATGTGTGAAAGAGAACTCGGCTTACATTTACACATTTATGTTTTTGCCGGGATGTCGAAAATACCTCACAATTTCTTTACGAGCATTGAAGTCATAACCTGTTTACAACGCTACTCACCCCAACCCCAAACACAACCCACCCCACTGTTTTGCTGCTCTTATTTAGTTCCGATTTCACAACTAGATGGCGTTGTACAGTTCCATACATTTTCTGAATCGCGGTGTTAAGATTCTCCGTCGTTGAATGACCCTCGCGGCGCGCTCGGCAAAATTCATACTTACCTGGCGTAGGGGAAACCGTGATCACGTAGGCGGTTCCCCCAGGGCGAGGCCTTTCCATTGCACTGCGGTTAGGTTGACCCCTGCGATTATCCCTAATGTGGATAACTCGGACGCGTAATTTTTGGTAGTGAGGGACTGCGTACGCGCTGTCCCTCTAAGAATGTTTTAAAACTGTTGGTTAAATTTAATTTAATAGTGGAAAGAAATTATTAAGTTGCAATTTGTATCTGTTATTCTTGAGACGGATTCCAAATTTTTTATCAAGATATTCTGAACTTTTTAGCTATAGTGTCGAATCTCATCTTAAATCTAAAACCATTGTTACTTGTTTGTTAAACTTATTTCCCTGTATGTCTGGAGAAAATATTTTTTTTTCTTAAACTCTATTCTTAAAGACAATTATCTAGCACTTAGCAGAGGTAAAGTATTTCTTTTGAAGGAGCACAATTTCTAAATATTTTAAATAAAACTTCTGAAAAATGCCTTCAGAAAGAATTATACAGTTAGCTACTTTGTAGCATAACTTAACATAAATTATTTTGATCCATTATGGATTTTTCTATAGAAACAAGAATAATTGACTTCTATTAAATATTAGTAATCAATATTAAACAAAAAGGATTTGCAACACTAATTAGAAAATTAAATCGTGTTGCTTGATCATTAGCTGCATACATTACATTGGTAGATAATCATTTTAATCGTAATCGTAATCATAATAAATTGAAGCGTAAATGTTTGTTCATATATTATGTATCCTCTCGCGCGCCTCTCGTACACACGGGTAACCGCACGTTCTCGTAGACACGGGTAAATATTTTAATAGAAAAGCGAATTAAATATACTGTTCAATTAAATAAAGAACGGGTTGCAAACTTGAAAATATACGTCACAGAAAAAATATCCAATCGGTGCGCGTTTCTCGTACACCCGTGTGTACGAGAAACACGTGAGAGGATATAGATAATTATATAAGCGATAAAGATTCTAATATAGATTACTTGTAATTATTATTGTTATTTTATTTTTGTTTGCTTTGGTTTTTTTTGTCTTTTTGTAACACAATTCTTAGTACCTAGATTTTTTTTTATGGAATAGGAGGCAAACGAGCAGGCAGATCACCTAATGGTAAGCGATCAGAGCCGCCCATGGACACCCGCAACACCAGAGATGTCACATGTGCGTTGCCGGCCTTTTAAAAAGGAATAGTGTACTTAATTATTATTTATAATACTTCATTACTATGTTTAATACATGGAATTTATGATTCCCTGAGTGTTGTGTACATCTGTCACTGGTATGCATATCAGAAATTTTAACATTTTGTATTCAATTGTGATATGGCTAGTGTATAATATGTATACTGTTGATGTGCCTTTAATTAATAGATAAAATAAATAAATAAATATCGATGTCTATTTATGTATATTTACTCTAAATGACTTAGGTAGCTGATTTTACTGATATTTGGCACAGACGTCTTTCAAAAACCCTGATATAGAAATGCCCTACGTGGTATTTCCGTGTCAGATATTTAAACGAACAAAGTTGCAGGCAAAAGTCAGTTTTATCATAATTGTTAGCTAGCTGAGTCATACACATATTGAATACTAAAATTTTCCTAGGAAGATGCATAATTATTATGCTATCTGAAGTACTTACATATTATGGACATGTGTTAAGAAATAAAGATAATAGATAAATTAACTGTATTAACTGAAGGTATGTTTGTAGGTAACATTAATTTGTTTGAAGGGAAATATTAAACACAGGATTGAAGGCATGCAGTGACGCAGAACAAAGCCCATCAAAAAAGAGAAATAAGCCAGAGCTTATATCTCTTTTTTGATGGGACTTTTTTATTTCTTTATTAATTTAGAGGCAAAAGATCACATAAAGACCATGCCAGACCCATCATTCCCTAAACAGATTAAACAAAACTTACATTAACTTAAATACTACTCTTATTGACTATCTATCTATATACCTCTATATAAAAGAAAGTCGTGTTAGTTACACCACTTATAACTCAAGAATGGCAGAATAGATTTGGCTGAAAATTGGTAGGGAGGTAGCTTAGAGCCAAGAGACCGACATAGGATAGGATTTTTAACCAACATTTATTTTTTAATTTTTACAAAAAGTCACGAACGGGGACGGGAAAAAATGGGATTACGCGTACGAAGTCGCGGGCAGAAGCTAGTTTTATATAAAAAGATAGCTGCTTTGGATATAGGTCGTGACAATATACTATGGAAAACGCCAACATCTAATAGTTAAATTCTAAACATATGTTTCAAAGCCTTTCTCCCAGGGACTTCTATTCTTTTATTGGTAGGTAGTTTATGTACTAAGGAGTAACCTAGGCTACTATTTCCACGCGGCCGAAGTCTAATCTAGCTAGTATAAATAAAACTGCAATTTCACCCAAAAGTTTATATATAAACTGATATAACCTAAATAAATTACGGGACATATGCAATTTTTGACTTCACTGTTTTGATATTGGACTTATGGACTTCTTTCTTCATTGGAGTTTAACCGATTATGGAAGCTTGGTACAGGGATAACACGAGGAATCCGATGGCGTAGACCACTAGCACGATGTCCATTGCTGTTGCAAAGAGGTCTCGGGCTATCTGGTCACCGGCCAGACGACGTATGTGAGTGCGGGCATGGCCACACAACCGGGAAAGTTGATTCAGGAAGAATTCTGCTGCGCTCAGGACGGTGCTGGAAGTAGGAAAAGTTGTAGAGTTCGTGATCCAATTGATCCATTAGGTAAGAATTAAAGTAATAATATTATTTTGTGCCGAATAGAGGAATCCTCGTTCCATAGCATATTTCAGTTGTAATCTATCTACCTATTTACTCGATCAATAAATGGTATTTTTTTAATAAACAGTAACATGTTTATCTTTTGAAAACCATAAAGAAATAGTATTGTACTTCAATAATCTCGCCCTTAGCGCCATCTCTTAGTTATACAAGAAGCTGCGAAATGGAAGGGCTAGGGAGTATAGCTACGTTCGAGTTCCTTTTACGATCCATTCGAGCGTGCTATTGTTGTAATGTTTCATAATGAAGATAGATGGCGGTAAAAGCGGGTTACTTATTATTGGCACCTTTATAAAGTGCTGTAGGTTTCATACATAATTGCGATACGGGCTATTTAGTCTGAATATGTCTTTTTTAATGTTCCAATAATGTAGGTCTCACACATTTTCTCCTAAACTGTTTGGTTCCAGACTATATTTCTATATTAAGGAGAGTATGGTTTACTAAGATATCACTACATAGTTTAAAACAAAGTCGCTATCCGCCGTCTGTCTGTCCCTATGTAAGCTTAGATCTTTAAAACTACGCAACGGATTTTGATGCGGTTTTCTTTAATAGATAGTGATTCTTAAGGAAGGTTTATATGTATAATACATGCATATTGCACCCGTATGAAGCCGGGGCGGGTCGCTAGTTAAATTATAAATTCCATCCTAAACAGCCAAGAGATAAAGCACAATTTACCTTGGCGTACATCTCCACTGGATGCAGTTATTGACGCTGAACATAGGCAGTACCATTGCAATGATGTACCACATGCCGTCCATTGATGAAGATGGGGCTATGGTGGAGCGCTGGACCACTGCGACCCTGAAATCAAGATCAAACAAGAGTTAATGTGAAACAACGGGGATATTTTTTTAACCGACTTCAAAAAAGAAGGAGATTCACAGTTTGACCTGTATGTATGTATGTTTGTGTGCCATTAACTCACGATTGGCTGAATCGATTTTGATACGGTTTTCAGAAAAGTCTTTTTTACTAACTTCACTAGAGGACTGACTGACAAACAGACAATTTTTCCTTTAATATTTAAATATTATTTTTTGACGTTCAAAAGTGCCTTCTTGGTCTAATTGAAATAAATGATTTTGACTTTGACTTTGGCCTTGACTTTGACTTTGACTTTACACGTAGGGAAAGGTTTTATTATATAAATAAACTGACCTCAAAAAGGTGGAAGGGGGGAAGTTGAAGTCGGTTTTTTTAAACGTAGTTTAAGAAAAAAATATTAATATTGAATGCTACAAAGGTGAGAGTAATTTCAAGGATTGACAGGTTAAAAGGTTCAGGTGTATCACAGAACGCTGCTGCCCAGTCTCTGTCAGTATATTCTCCCTCCTTCAGGCTCCAACGACACCCATGGGAGACTTGGAGCGGTGATTATTGTATTGTACTCTATTGTACCATCGTGACGGCCTGTTCATCACATACCAAGCAGCTTGTCATCAGACCAGATAATAAAGATGATCTAGTATACCTGCTGTTCTGAACACCAGTACTCTCAGTCGGAGTGCCCCTCAGCCAGAGGTCTACATCGCGGCTGTACTGACTGCTGTCACTGGCCAGGGTATAGGAGGATGATGAGACCGGATCATCTTTTTCTTTCTGAAGTTGTGGTTCATTATGCAGAAGGTTGGGCGGTGTCTTGCCTTGTTGATGGTCCTGCAGAATAAGAAAGTGGTCAGTAGACAGCGTTTACAGGTCATGGGAATAGATCGCGCAGTCGCCATGCGGTTGTCGCACGGTTTGGTCACTACTAAGAACTTGAACGTTGTACATAAGACAATAAAGTATAAATTGCTATAAATAGAAAGAAATAGATACACGTAGCCACCGCGTGGTAGACGTGGAATAATTTTTCTACTTTAAAAATACGCACCTGTGGCTCCTCCGGTGCTACGGGTGTCCATGGGCGGCACTGGTCGTTTGCTACCAGATGATTCGTGTGATCAATTGCCTATTTTATTAAAAAAAAACAGGTCTCATCATTCTATATAAGTAGATACCTATCACTTCTTGAACTTAACTCGATTGAATTTGGTACTTGCCAGCTAGTCAAATTCAATACTTTTTTCGAACTGTCAAAAACAATAGTTTTCTATGAATTATTTTATATTTTTAGTTTTTTATATTAAACGTCAAACTAAAAATATGCTGGAAGAATACTAAAATTAAGTTGACCATAAAATCAATAAATGAAAGTGTGATTATTTTTTAATATTTGATTGAACAATCGAAATAATTTATTTTTGAACCCAATTTCTGACAATATGACAGTCCTTATGTTAGCAGCCCGTACGAACACTGTGCCAACTATGACACAGTCATAAAGAAACTACAGCTCCTCTTCCTGCTGCTGACAATAATATGTGATTGTGATCTCACGTTATTTTCATCCGAGGACTTGGTGAAGGTTTCTGCGGAAGGAGATCGCACTTTGGGAGGCAGACCCTCTTTCCCGTACAGGATCTGTCGGTACTGGCTGTTCAGCATAAGCTCAGCATAGTCACTCACCAGGTCTGATGCCATCTTCTGCAAAAATAAATACTTAATATTCTCTTAACAGTTCCTTTGGTGTCGTCTAGTAGAGGCTTCGGAACTAGTCTCTTCTAAGGACCCGATGCCCTTATATACTGGAGCTGACTGTAGTCGCCAGGACATTTTTAGGGATGTGAGAATCCCACTCTTCAGAAACGTAATAAAAGTAAGTTTAAGAAGTAAAAGACCAATGAAACCAGGCGAAATTGTTGGTGATGTAGCCGACGATGGAGCATGTCTGCCCATTAACAAACTATTCACTCGGACCTTGAAGACACCCTCGATCTTGAGAACACTGATTCTAGCAAGGAGTTTTAATACTAAGACGTACATTTTTATTTGGTTCTCTTCAAACACGTGCCCTAAAAGGGACGGTTGGGTGATCTAGTAAATTCTGCGTTGCATTCCGTTTGTACTGGATATTTATTTGGAACAATTTGGGTGCTTTTATATTCCTTGTTGGATGTCACTCATTTTTGACTTTGATAGATTTATGCTTGTCTGGTTTCCTTTAAAAATATTAACAAAGGTTTGAATGCAAAACAAGGATATAGTTGAAAGATTTTTGTAAAATATTTAAATACCTATCAATATTATTAATTATTTATAGCGTAACAAATAAACACTGGGCAAGACGCTGAGGCCATTTATAATTTAAGCTAAACATTTCATCGGTAAGGCGAGCAAGCCGATCAACAAAATTATCATTAATTTTGAAAACTATTCGAATCAAACAAAATCCATTAATTTAATTAAAATTTCGTTCGCAATAATTAACCTGTAAATTCGGTAGCCCGTGTCAGACGAGGCATACGTACAAAAGTATATTTTTTCTATTTTGTCTATTTTTCTTCAAATGTCATTCTTAGGGCGCGAACCGTTGGAGGCCATTGTTCGAAATTCAAAAAGAACGCGGGCAACCCGCGGTGTCATTATGCGTGGTTGCCAATATAAAAAAGGTTTTTTTTCAATCAATTGATTGGAACTTTTTTGTTAATTGACTTATTTTTGTACGATGTGAAGATTTGCCTCAATTTAGTTGCCATCAAAGCCACCTACCAGGTCATTTACGTTGTAGGTGGTATCAGTATTAATAGTTCTACGCTTTCTATTGATTATATAATTTTGAAACATTTTTGCGACTTTACACAATCAAAATGTATAAAACTAATCGGTTTAGAACACTCTTTTCGACTAAAAACTCAAATGCTAATAAACTAAAATTGAGGTTCTCCACGTCATAATAAACAATCTATACTATATATACTGTCGCGGAGAACGTAACGGTTTCTGGGGCTCCTGCTCGAAGTGCAGAAGTAGGAACGGGGTGGTTTATAGTCAGTAAGAGTCTGACACTCCTTCCCACCTCACCCAGGCGGGAGCAGTCATTTGATGATTATCCCCCTTAAAAAATACTATGTATATATTTTATATTGGAACAAGGAACTTCATAAACAAATGTGTCTCCACCAATTGGCGGTAATCAAAGCAAATATATCCTGCAAATGACAGACGGACAAACAAGATGAATTTAGAACAATACAGAGCTGATTGTCACACATCAACAACACTGAATATAATGACTTAATCAAGACATCCTGCTATATCGTGGGAGATTGTGTAATGCGAATTACCCTGATGACTTTATATTTTGATGATGATGATAACCTCGTCTGTTTGTTAAGCAAACGCCGCCTGAATTGAGATGAGGTTAAAAATTAAAAATATGAGAAAAGTTTAATATATACATGTGACTGCACAGTTGACTCGGTGGCTCGTCAACCGGTTGCTGCGCAACGTGTCGAGGGTTCGATTCCCGCACGGAGCAACTCTTTGTGTGATCCACAGATTGTTGTTCCGGGTCTGGGTGTCATGTATGTTTGTAACTTGTATGTTTGTAAACGCACCCACGACAGGAGAAAATCCTAGTGTGGAGCAACGTTTAAAAAATAAAATCTTATTTTCTGTGGACAATACTTTGGCTGAGGTTATATTGAAAATTCAAAATTTCCTTCCTACTGATAACTTTTAACTACCTTAATTAAACTGGTAACAATAGACGTCTATTTTAATGCCATTGAAAAGCACAAATACACATGCTCAAATAGTCAAAAGCCACCCAGTTTTATGTTGTGCTTATAAGTATAATAGTACCGTTACAGCAAATTATTTATTAACTAAAATCGCTGGTTACTCACGTGAATATACCGAGAAAAGCTCTATTAGTTTCGAACCACAGAGGGGTTCTTCCTCATGAGCAGAGTGCGCGGTAGCGGCGATGTCGCGCAGATCACTGATTCTTTGTAAAATGACAGAGATAATATTTAGGCACAATTTAAAATTAAGTAACCATTCAGTATTCGGACAATAGTTAGATACCTATCCATATTTTTATGACAGGCATCAAAATCCGATAAAAAATCTGCCAACACTATCAAACATCGCGGTACGTCCACTGAGTGGGCGTGCAAAATCGAAAGCCCAGAAAGTGAAACGAGCCGCCATTTTTTTTCGCATATCAATTTGTTTTTTTTTTTATGTGGCTACCCCGCGGTAGCCGACACTGGCCACACCGCGGGATGTCGCGCTACCGTGCCAAAGAAAATTGATGAATTTCAAATTTTTTTTTTTGGAAATAACTCACTTTTGATTTTTGCGCTGACATCCCGTCTGATGATTGGCGGCGTGATAGTAATCGGAATTTTTATTTGCTAGAATTTGATTTGATTTCTAAAGGGAGCATTTTTTTTATTCTTTTCTAAATCCTCCCCTCTTTACTCCTCGTTTATAATACCAAAGTGAAACGTCAAAATAACGTGTGCAAACGTGCACTAGTAATAGATCTACTATTCTCTTGCATTTATGGTTTTAAGTTCGTCTCATATACCAGTATAAATAACATGGGATGAGTAATTTACCTCTACATTGAAATACATACATACATATCTTCACGCCTGTCTCCCATGGAGGTAGGCAGAGGCTATGGAACGCCAATTACTACGATTCCTACATACCACTTTCGCTTCAACAACAGTCGTCAATCTTTCCATGCATGCTCATCGGTTAAGGGTATTTATTTTTAATTTGGCCCTTCTTTAATATTTATGCCAATCTGGTCAGTATATGAAACACAAAAAGAAACTAATTCAATATTATTACTCTCCAAATCTCTTCATTATTTATTTACAAATCAAAACTGTTATAGCTAAATATTTTATGAAAAAAAAGCACCCAAATGTTGACTTAATAAATTCGGAATCAACCCTTTATTTACCATCGGCGGGTCGTTTAGACCCCATTATAATATTTAATGCTAAACAAACATGGGATTTTTGCTTCTAAATGACTTCATCCAATTTTTAGGACCAATTTGACGGGTTAGACGTGCCGGTTTGCGTTTACGTTAGGTCGACATGATTTTTTGAAATGAAATTTTAATGTGTTTTGAGTAATAGAACTTACATAAGATATGTAAGCAAGTAGGGCCTATAATTATAATTTGAAAATAGCACAGGATGACTCGTTTAAAAATTGTGGCAGACTACTTATTCGCCTTTTAGGTAAGTGGAGAAAAATAGGCGATATAGGAATACTTATGAGTCGGTGACTACATTTTTATTATTAGTTAAGTTTTATGCTTTTTAAAAGTAATACATCATGTACTTTGTAAACATTAAAGTACCTAACTAACAAACAACCAATTCTTAAAATCACGCCAAACCTCTAAACTAAACGTAAACCTCATTCGTTTTGTTGTTACGGACTTAGGAGACGGGAAGGCGAAGGGTTAAACGTCCATTTAGTCAACTATACTTAGTTCGCGCTTCGATTTAACGATCCACTATTTAGCCACATCGGTACCTTTGATACTGTCGATCACCTTTTTTTGTTTCACCTTGATGATACTTTTTTTCCTAGAATCAAAGTACTTTGTTTAAACTAAACAAAATTATAGTCTTTTTTTACTTTCTCTCGAAGTTTATGTATTTAAAAAGGTTTTAAGTTACCACTTTTTATTGAGTGGACATTAAATAAAGTGAAGGGTTTCGTTTGATTTCATAATCATGGAAAAATAGCTGTCATTATACTTGAATCTATAAATTAAATATCTAATATTTGTTTTAAGTATATTTTTATAGATGGTCTAGTTGTTACCTGGCGGATAAGTGCATTGTCGATTAACGTTAAGTGTGGGAGACCCATGCTTCGGCACGAATGGACCGGCTCGACCGGAGTGATACCACGGCCGAGCAGAAAACCGACGTGAAGCACCGCTTGCGTTGTGTTTCGTCGTGAGTGAGGTTACCTGAGGCCCAACTACCCTCCCCTTCCCCAATCTCCCCAATTCCTGAACCTCCAACGATCCTCAAACTCCTAATCCCCAAAAGGCCGGTAACGCACTTGTAACGCCTCTGGTGTTCCAAGTGTCCATGGGCGACGCCGATTGCTTACCATCAGGTGATCCGTCTGCTCGTTTACCGGCTTATGCCATAAAAAAAACCGATAAAAGTTTCCAGAATCTTTGAAATAATAACAACTTCACTTCACATCTCTGTAAAACTAAAATGTCTCCTTAATATTGTTATATTGGTATAAAAGCTTCTAAACGGTTAAAAACCAAAGTTACAATTAAACATAACCACGAAAACAGACAAAAATCCAATTTAATTCCTCATTAAAAAAAAATATAAAACAGAAAATAAAAGCCGTTCGTTTTTCTTTTTCAAAATATTCGATCTATAACTGTGTATTGACACGAGTCAACAATTTTCAATTTGATCGAAACCATTCAAGGGTTGATATAATTGTGAGGTTTAATACCATCATTATATTTGATTGGTTATGCATCGAATAGTAAACCTATTAGAAATAGGGGTTTGTGGAGTTCCATTTATAGATATGGTGGCGGTTGGAATGATTTTGTTTGTATGTAATTGTAACGGTATTATTTTTAAAGTTAATTTTTATAGTTTTTCTCTGAAAGAACTCTTTATAGTTCAATTAGGAGGAAAGATGACATCACTTGACTTTGACTCTGACCTAGTCTCCCATCGGGGTAGCAGAGGCTATGGTTTATTGCTACGATTTTTACATACATCTTTCTCTTCATCAACAGTCATCAGTCTTTTCATGCATGCTCGTCGGTTAAGTCTATTTATTTTTTAAAAATGTTAAATATTTGAAAATCCTTCTGTGGTTTTTGCAGCAGTCTCACCCTTCGTAGCCAGTGACAAAATGTCCAACGACATTATTGGCGAATAATAGACAAATTATAAGCACCTAATTGCAACTCCATTCCGATAAAAAAATCTAATATTAATGTCCTAGTGGACCATTAAATTTCATACATTATGGCATGGGTGCTTAGTCCAAAACCTTTTTCACTACAAGGTCTGTCATCCCGATTAAGGCTCGCGTGTCATACAAACCGTAATGAATAGACAAAACCGACTGACGTAAATATCGC